ACACTATGTTACTATTTCTATGTACGGACCCTTATTCCTCATATTAATAAAGAAGCCATTGAATAGCTTACTTTTCTTTATTCCATGCCATCAAATAATTGTAAAGATGGCACTCATCTCTCTACTGTTTTCCCCCGACCCGCCCCAAAAAAAGGGAAAAATAAATTTTTATTAATTACGTTTTATCAGTATAATTTTGATAAAAATACTTTTTCCAAGTTAAAGACACTACAATGCAACAACAATGACAAGGAGAAGCCTGCAAATGATCAGTTATGTACGAAGCAGACATTTGCCTAATATGAAGAAGTGGCACAGTATGCAAGCTATAGAAATCATCTAACACACATCTTCTTTATCAATCAACTTTGTTCAAGCTTTTCATTTCTTTATTTCTTAGTCAAATAGATACAGTCTAAAGATGCAGGTACATTTCCTTCACATCACTGCTCAGAGAAGGAACACTGTTGATCTCTTTGCTGTTGCCCAAAACTTTTTCTTCCTGGTAGCCCACAGTTAAATATACCACTAATCCTGGACAATATTCTCAGTTTCCCTAATCTAATGAAAAAATCATGACCTACCCATTCAGCCTTAACAATCATGGCCTACCACCTTTTATTGTCATTTCAGCTGTATTTATTGTGATGTAAGTGAGACAATAGCTTAGAACATTTTTAGTGAGCAAATCTCTGGAGATGCTAAATACTTCATTAGTTAATTCCTAACATATATAGTGGCTGAGTAGCTACCCACTTGTGTAAAATGTACCCTCTGTCCATACACCAAACTAAGTAAAGTATATACACTTACTACTGATCATGCAAAGACAACAAAAAATCATCTATTTTCTTTTCTGTTTTGATCTGAACAGAGCAGGTTTTAAACAAACAAAAAAAGATTTGTTTTGTTTTGTTTTGTTTTTTTTTATCTTGCCTTGTTATTAATACAGTTTTGAAGTTTATCATGAAAGAAATCTAAATTAAGGGTCTTTTCTCTTTGTTTTTTTGTTAATACTTTTTTACCCAATTATGATAGGAGTTAGCAATCTCCTTCAGCATCCACAGATTCAAATGATAAAGGCTAGGGATTAAGCATAGATGATTAACAGTCTGTGTCCTCTTCAGTCTAGCATTTCCACTGTGGATAAACCCATATTCAGACAGAAGTTATAATAAACAGACTATCCTCAATATCATTTCCCTGGATGACCTCCTCAAAACTGACATTCAAGTATTCTTGTGGAAAATTACAATTTATAGTAACTGGAAAAGCAGACAAGACAACATATACCCACACAAATGATTCTGAAGATCAAGTAAAATGTTTAGAAAGCAATTTAGATAAAATGGTAATTTTACTATAAATATTTTATTTGTTTCAGTTCTGAGTATTTTCTTATGATTATAGGTTTGACATATAAAATAAAAGCAGCTTGCTAAATTTTATCTTTATTACTTGTATTGTGTATCTTTAAAATAACTGCATTATTATTTATACATATTATGCAAAAAAAAAAAGCTCAGTCTATTATAGTGGTTGCAATTCTTTCCCTTCTAAAGGCAAAGGAAAACAAACACTGAAATTCTCCAGCTACACTAGATTGTCTGAAATATAAATATTACTCTAAGGAAAGTGTCAGTACAAACCATTTGTCCAGTGAACAACAGCAAAAGAATAAAAATCCACATGGACAGAATTGCAGAAATATGCTATTAGGTATGTGTTTTGATTTCTATCATAAATAATATTTTCACCTAAGATGAAAAAAAAAAGCTCCTAAAAACAAAGATACTTTTTTCTTTGTAGGAACTTTTTAACATGGAAAGTTCTGACAGGAGTCTGATGCTATTTGACATTTGAAATCCAGAATCTTAGGGGTCAAAAGAAAGGCTATGATCAATACAGATATAAACTGTGTAACAGGGCATTTTAATTTCTTTACCTAGGTGCTCCAACTATTTTAAGGAACTATAGAATTTTATGTCATGTAATGTCAGTGTACTTCTTTAGACAGAAGCAGCAACATTTCAAACTATTTTATTATAAATAACTAATCTTATCATCTACCCAGTTAAAGGGACTGTATTCTACTCTTATTTCCATTAGTTTACACTGGCAGAATTCCAGTAAAGTCATTCTGAAATCAGATGAATGCATGTGTGCATTTATTCTTCAATTCTTTATTCAAAGTACATGATCAAAATTTGGTTCTCTCTGACCAAACCATGCAAGTGATAAGAAACAGGCCATGCCATATAGTGCAAAAAAAACCCCAACAAAACAAAACAAAAAAAACACCAAACCTGAGCTGCATTTTGATTAGTTATTCACTACAATTGGTTTAAAGTAAGCACTGCATGTGAACACAGTTAATTCATTAGTGTTGTTCATCAATTCTTTTCACTGAAGTTTAAAAAAAGATAGCATAAAATGATTCAGATAAAGTTTCATAGTTAGAACATTAATTGGGTTTTGATGATTCCATCCACCTTTTCTTCCAGACACAAAACAGTTTCAAAGCCCTTTTAAATAAATCTGTACTTGAGAAAGAATTGAAAATGTGAATTTAACTCAAATTCACTCACTTTGAGATCTTACTTCAAAAATAAATTTCATGGTCTGTCTTCATAACAATGTAGCTTATTTTTGCCAACTAAGACTCATGTAATGAAGCATAATGTGTTTAATCAGATCGTATGGACTACAATTTAAGGCTATTTATGTTTAGTATCATTTGGAGACACACTAACTTAGGAGACGTGATCTGTAGGTCAGTTCTCCTTAATCATCTTTATGAGCAGAAGGCTGCATATTTTCCTCACCAAAAAAGCCACACTGAGTTATATTTAACTAATGATAAGATACACAGCAGACGATTAAAACATCATGTATCCCATTTATTCATTTTTAAGTTTCTCATTCCCCATTGAAACCTGTTAAAAAATGCTTGTCATATTGTACAGGAACAATCTTGCCTCCATCTCACCACTGACATCAAACCTTTTCTCTCATTATTCAGCTACATATTCTTTTATGCATGGGTTTATTTTTTGAAGCAGATATATAAAAGAAAATGGATTCCCTTCACATGTTATTTAGTGTAAAAAATATCTAAAACCAGGAGGAAGAGTAAGACATACACTTTTTGAGGAATTAAGTGGACCTTAAATTAAAAAGGTCTACAACAGGTAAAATTAAATATATCGGTCCTTTCATTTTTTAATCTAACAACAGATACCATTAGCTATTACACACAAGACAAGGAATTTTATAAGTTGTTAGTCATTCAGCACATGGTATTTTATTATTATCCATTTGATATCAAATATTCTTTTCCTAGACATTTGTATATATTTTTCCAGTTCTAATTTCCTGTCTTAATTAATGGATGAAAGTTCTTATTACTAGATTGGAGGAATGTATGAATTTATTAACACTGGGCTTTAAAATAAGACTGGGTTAGCAGAGCAGATATTCCTTCAGTGAGAACAAATAAAAACTTAACCTGAAACGTTTTCTTAGGGCAAGCTTACCCTAATGACTAATTAAAAGCTGCAGGATAAAATGCAGAACATCATAAACAAATTTGGGAAAGAATTATCTTTGTTATTATCCAAGGAGTGAGATGCAGTGCAATGAGACTGGAAGAACGGAAGAACCGAGTGGAAAGATCTGCTTCTTCATCTACACACATGCACACACACATGCATACACATGCACACACAGAGCCCCATACACGCAGCTTTTCTTTCAGAGCACTTTTCATTTAAGCAGCTTGGTAGTATTTATGTTTGCAGAGCTCCCGGTATTCCCAAACCTTACCCTTTATTTTTAGCTTTCAGGTTTTTGCTTCAGCTGATGAGAACAGGAAAAGAAGGTGGTGTGTTTATTGCTGGCAAAGAGTTTGGAAATTCTGAGTAAAGAAGCCAATCAAGGCAGAAAGATTATAATAATCAAAGTACAAAATTTGCATATTTAGAGTATGGTTACTGAGAAATAACAATGCCTTGGTTATGCAAATCAAACCCTCAGCTAAAGTGAAGGGATTTGCATATCTGGGAGAAATCTGTCACGTTATGCATCGGTAACTACATTCTAAGTGGCTGAATGAACTGGCTTTTAGCAGAATATTAAATATAATTGCCAGTAGAATTTTTCTATTTCCTTGTGTTATAGAATAAACTTTACTCATCTGGGGCCTGATGAAAACAGGTCTTCTTGTCTATAGGACGCAATACGATTCAGAACCACAAAAGATACATTCAGCCTGCCATAAAGCTAGAATTTTTAAGATTGAGATCATGAAAACATTCCAAGAGTTGTGTGTTACCAATTGTGTTCATCCTTTTTGTCTATAGAAGGTTGCTTAAAGTAGCCCTCTTGAGAGAGGACTGCAGAAAACAGATGAAAGTTTAAGGCCACCTGTTCCGCTCTGAATGTTTCCTTCATTTTAAATTTAGTGAATGAAGAAAAACAAGTTGGACTGAAAGATTTCATAGCTAAAAATCCGTGAAAAAAACTGCAGACTGAACTACTATAACAACTTTCTATGATATATTTAAATTAAGCGGAGTTAACAGTAGGATCAGAAGTATTATAATAAAACTAAAGAAAAAAATAAGTAGGGAAATTCTCCTATAAAAATTAGTACGTGGCACTATTTGTACTTCTGTTACTTCTGGTTAATATTTATTTCCCCTTTCCTCTCTTGTGTATGATGCTCAGCTGTAGTTCAGATGTAAACTTAAGGCTGGCTGACACACCCTGGCCACTGCCTGCAAATGAAATTGCGGTTTGGCGTCACACTGGAACGTGAGAGAGAATTCATGCAAGCATGTTCAATCTACAAAGTATTACTTAACATGCGTGTTCAGAGACATGATCCATTTCCACAGATAAAACATGGAGAAAACTGAGCAAGATGCTTTAAAGACCTGGCTACTACTCATGTGCAGAACTGGTGAGTGTGATGCAGTGTGGTCCTTAAGAGTACTTACCATCCTCTGTGGGCACATAGATATTCAAATACAGGCAGTCTTCATTTTGATCTTGAACATATGTCACCACAGTATCCAGATTGGCTGTAAACCAGACTGGCAGCATGTCGTTGAGCAGTGACCTCTCATCCAGGTACTGCGGGCAGACGGCGGCAAACTGTGTGGCATTACGGACACCCGTCCAAGACGACGGTGGCTCTGGGGGCTGAAATCGCCTTTCTCCAGTTGGAGGAGAGGCATAAGGAACACCCAGGTACTGCTCCACTGGACCAAGGATCTCATTGGGTAAAGGGGTTCTTAAACCACGTATTTTGCCGTAATTCGTGGTAACAACTGGGTATTGTGCTTGGCCATCAATGAGAGTAAATCTTATAGCCAGTGCAGTTATCCACAGAAGGAAGTTAGAATTCAACATGACACACACTGGAGTGAAGATCAAAGGCAGCCATAGGAGTCCCATTGGTTTCGACATTATTTAAATCAACATCAGCAGGGCTCTTTTTTCCACAGCCAGGAGAAAATTAAGCAGTCAAGGAAAATGAACACTAATAAAATAAAAAAGTAGTCAAAAGGAGATGAAGTGAGGGAAAACGTAACCTTGTTCAGGCAGCGAAAAACCAAAAGCTGATGTGTGGTAGGTGCCTCAGCTGACTGGCCGTAGACAAATCCCAATGTCAGAAGAAACAAGGGAGTGTTTGCCCCTAAGGCCCATCCCAGTCTTCAGCATTCGCTTAATCCTGGCAATGCATGGCACTTCCCAGCAAGTAGTGCAGGGAGAGATCCACAGTTATTCCACTTCCCCAGTGAAATGGCTCCTTCCAGTAAAGTCCAGCCCACTCAGTCAGCCTGTGGCCAAGAGAAAACAAGCAATTCAAATCAACAGACACATTCATACTGGCATAAATCTAAAAAAAAAAAAAAAAAAGAAAAAACCAAAAAACACCAAACAAATTCAGACACTACTTCCACACCAAGGCCCACAAATGTTTTATTTATATTAGGCACCATGGTTAGCTACGTGTTTCCAAAGATACATAAGGTAAGAGAGCTGAAGCCACAAACTTGTCAGAGGTTATACTGCAAACCAAACATTTCTGCTCCTGTATATGCTTCCAAACCAAACCACAGCCCAAACGTTGCTCCTTTCAGGAAGGGTATCACATTTAGGTGCTAGCTCCAGGGTATTTTCTGCCCTAAATAAACAACATCTCCCTTTTAAGCATATTTGCACTCCCACAGCAAACATTCATTAAACGTTTTGCTGCATTGGATAATCTGTTATGATATGACTTCTATATATAAAGTATTTTTCACAGATATGCCTACTCTTCTGTATGACAACCTAATTTATCTCCATCTAATTCAGAAATTCCAATTACTGTAATAACATTACATCAGTTCAAAACAAGTGTGAGAACAGTTAGTCAAAATTAGATACAAAGTTATTGGGTTTCATATCTGTTTTCTTTGTTCTATGTCTGACAAAAAGGAACAATGGAAACTGAAAAGAAAAAAAAAGCGTGATACAATCTCTCAAAAGTCAGATTTTGACCTACATAGTGTTACAAGTATGTAACGTTACCTTCTTGCATGCTCCTACTTTTAATTTTTCGGCAGAAGGCAAGTCATACAACAATTCTGTTAATTTTTAACGAAATACAAGTCACATATATTGCTAACAATTACAAGTAGTAAAAATAAATGCACAGCACTTGTTAATACTTACATTCTTGTCTCTGTACAAAGAAATGGAGGAGTTCCTTTTTACCCATTATTCAACTCAAAATGACAGATAACAATTTCACAGCTAAAACAATCCTTGTTATAGGAAACTGATACTGATACTTTACATTTGATAGGATGAACACACAGTTGTATATAAAACACATATAAGTGGACTATGAGGTCCTGTTTTCAGTCAGGACTCTGTCTCATGAAGATATAAAATCATTTTTCAAGAGCAGAAAAAACCAAGGTAAGTAGCTATTGACAGTGATTTCAAATGACCAAAAAAAACCCCAAAGCTAATCCACAAAAAAACCCCAAGCAACCCCAAAATAACCACAGGAGAGAGACATCTATGCTGATGCTTTTAGACACAGAAAGGCATCTGAAAGAAAGATATTTCATTCTTTCAAAACTCCTGGAATTCTTCCATGACTTCATTTTAGCACTCGTACGGCAAAATTTTTTGAAACCCTGAACACCAGAAGCCAGAAAAATATCAGAAATGTATTATTTATGGTGAACCAAAATTTCTATTGACATTTTCACTGGTAGATAATAGGCTCAGATGCTGCCTCCAAAGGACTTGCAACTTAAGCATAATTTCTGAAGGACAAATCAGTAACACCTGTAAATGTCATGTCCCTGGGGGCACCTCTAACCCTTGCAGGCCCTGCCAAGCCCCACCTGGCACCTGGCCCCACCCTGCCCATGGCCATAAGACCCCATTTCAAGCCAACCTGGGGCTATCAATCCCGGACTGAGCTATGCTGCAGGGAGCCCTGCACCCAGACCCATGCCCAGCCTGGATCTTGCCCTGACTGTGTCCCCAGGTCAGCCTTGGACCTGACTCCTTACCCTGCCTGGCCTGATGATCGTTTGGCAGTGGCAGGGTCCTGTTACCAGTCCAGCCTCGATGGGGTGCTTTAGGAGGATGCCCCATCAGTGAGAGTATTGCCCTGCCCGCTCTGCAGTGCCCACAGCTCCTGGCTCATCCTCCCCATGGGGCAGCCCCACTCCGGCTGCTCCCTGGCACTCAAAGTCGTCAGCCAGCTACCTGTCACACAAAATTCCTCCTCAAGCACTGCCTTCCTTTCTGATGTCTGCTACTGTCTTTAACAACAGAAGTCAGCAGCAGGCTATTGATTTTGGGTAGTGCTCATGCTCATGTTCTCCCCCATTCTGACTGTGGTACACTTTTCTGACCATGCAGCACAAAGCAGATTTTCCAGTTGTACCCAACTGAGGATTTAATCTGTGCTCAAGGAGGAGCAACAGATCCTACTCCCTTGACACACAGACTGCAGAAGTTTGTAATAACATTATAAGAAAAAGAAATGTGGAATAAAGCACTGAGAAAACTGACAAGGTGGAGGGAAAGACAGTGATGCAGATGATGAAAAATGGATAGAGAAAAAACTTGTCTGGGCAAACAGCAAATGAAAAAAAGAGGAAAAAAAACAAAATAAAATGGGAATAACAAATAAACAACAGTGAACACATTATAAACATGGAGAGAATGAAAAATTACAACATGAAGGAAAGTGGAAATCCTCAGTTGATAAACATACCAGAGATAATATACAACTTTGAAAAATGTGGCTTAATAAATAATATTTATCCATATTAATTACAGGGTGTCTTTGGATCAATTATCTGGTTATATGCCGTTATTTTGAATAGAGTCAAAGGACAGGAAAAGGTAAACATTCATCATTGACCTGATTGTTATCTAGGAAATAAGTCCAACAACAGTTAGCTTTTGGGTATTAAATCCACTCATACAATGTATTATCCCTTGTATCTTAACAGGACCATACACAAAGTTTGCATTTCTGATTCATGCACACATAAACATTTAGATTTTAAGGACCTTGAATCCATAAAGAAACACATTGTTGGCTAACACACAGACTATAGCTAGTTCTCTCAGCCCCACTGTCCAGCCTATAACAGACCTGCAGCCTTTGTCAACCAGCGCAAAGACATAAACAAACAGCAGATAGTGACAAGTGCATTAACACAGGCAAGGTATATGCCATAAAAGAGCAATTATAAGATGGTTAGTCAGAATAAAACCTCTATTTATTGTAACATGTTCTGGTTATTAAAAGTTATTGTTGTTAGCCAGTTAAATGGCAACAGAAGCAATCAAAGAGAAGTCAAAGAAGATCTGAAATAACATACATTCATACATGCCTTCTTTATTGGCAGAGGAGTGTAATTTGAGGATAATGGGACATTTATGGCCTTTGAAGTAAATGCAGATTGAAGTTAACATGGATGTGCATCTACTAAAAACACTGCTTGTACTCGATTATAAATCTATGCCCCAAGCCACACTTATAGATGCTTAAACAGTCTATGAATCAGGCCTTCAGGGCTAACCTGATGGTTTCCAGGATCTGCAGTTAGCACTTTTTCAACTTGAGCAGATGAGTTTGTCAGTAGCTCTATACTAATTCTGTACTTGCTAGGGAAATATGAGACAGCTTAAAAGCCCTCTTTGCTCCAGAGTAGAATAGCAAACTCCAAAATGATTTCAAGTTTTTTTGACCTGCTTGTCCAGGTCATGGACAGTCATGAGAAAACCAAACACAAATACAAATTATAGGAGCACAAGAGACTGAGGACTGCACATATTTCCTGGGGTTTCTCAGGCTTTATCTAAACCAACTAGTCCACTACTGTGCACCTCAGCTTTCAGTCGCTGACCACCTTCAGTTTCTGTTCCCCCCTTCTGCTCACATTCCTTGGGGCAAGGTTTTTGATGTGTACATAGGTGTCATCTCAATACAGAATCAGGGTTAAACACCCACATCCCCCTCTTTAGACATGTGCTCTGAAAGCATACAGTCGGCTTGATTAGCTGAATCCTAAGCGTCACTGGCTAGTCACCAGAACAAAAATAACAAATAATGTAATCAATAAAACTTCAGATTCTCCTCATAGTGGTATTTTGTACAGTATTTAATGCATTTCACAGAATATAGGGTTTTAAAAAATATTTCATTTACCAAGAACATGAATCGTGGCTTTTCTTCCTTTCCTTCTCTTCTTACACTTGAAAGATATAATTTTGAAAGTTATGAAGTAAAGTAGTTTGATGGCGGGTTTTTTTTTTTGGGGGGGGTGGTTGTTTGATGGGTTTTTTTTAATAAAAGTAATTAAAAATATTATCCTGCTTTGTGTTTTACGTTTTATCCTGTTTATGTAGTAGCAGGAGACTGTAAATAAGAACTATCCAAAGCATAGCAATTAGTGAATATGCCTACACTATTGATTTTAGCAATACACATGTATAATTTGGAACTTTAGCAGAAAACTAATCACATAGTTGTTTTCTGTAAAAGTTCTTCCCAAAGCATGTTTAAATGCACCTCTACCTCAAATTCAGCACTGAAACCTCTTGTCACTATATTTGAAATGTTTGCTCAATAACAAAAGAATATTTCTTCCAAATATCAGTAAATGTATACTGTTTTTGTCTACCATCTTTCAAATAAAAAAACAGTTATAATTTCTTTAGTTTGTTTTTTTTCTTTTTCCCCCAGGTTCTGGGACTATTTTCTTGATACACTGAAATGCGCTAAGCTTCATTCTTCCTCATGCTATATAAAGTCATTCAGAAAAGTCAGACAAAGTCATAGTGAACAACACAAAGGAAGATCCGTCATGAACTATGCGCAGTTTCTGGACTGGATTACTTAGAAGGTTGGTGGGAAGGTTATTAAGTGGAATTGGCAA